ATTCGTATGCCCCTTCATGCTTTGGCCACCATTCCAGAGGACATGCTTCCATGTTGTTGATGCTGGTTTAAAAAAAAAAGTCTTAATTAAATTTGTGACTGAACTTCTTGGTGGAGAATTGCATGTCTCCTGCTCTGTTTTACCCGCATTCTGCCATATATTTCATGTTATAGCAGTCTCGGATGATGACCCAGCACATGTTTTTCGTTTTGAGAACACTTTCACTGCAGATTTGACAAAACGCAAAGAAGGTACCACTGTGAGATTTTTAAGAATAGCTACAGCACTTGACCCAAGGTTTAAGAATCTGAAGTGCCTTCCAAAATCTGAGAGGGAGGAGGTGTAGAAAATGCTTTCAGAAGAGTTAAAAGAGCAACACTCCAATGTGGAAACTTCAGAACCCCAACCACCAAAAAAGAAAATCAACTTTCTGCTAGTGGCATCTGACTCAGATAATGAAAATGAATGTGCATCGGTCCACACTGCTTTGGATAATTATCGAGCAGACCCAGGGGCCACAGAGACGGTTCCCGGCCAATGGGAGCTGTGGGGACGGTGCTGGGGGCAGGGACCGTGTGCGGTACTGCCTCACCCCTTCCCCTCCTCCCAGGGCCCACAGAGACGTGCCAGCAGCCAGCCACTTCCGGGAGTGGCCTGGGGCCATGGCAGGCAGGCAGCCTGCCTGCGCCCCGCTGTGCTGCCGGCCGCGGAGATTACAGTCGACTGGCAGAGGCTCCAGGATCGACCAGTTGATCACGATCGATGGGTTGGTGACCATTGGTTTTCAGCTCATTAGGATATTGTGGTGAAAGGGGCTGCTTGTTCAAAGGGCTAATGGAGCATGGGAATATTCTGTGCTGCCAAAGCATTAGTTGAACTGTTGCACAGGTAAAATGGGAAAAGTCCCTGGGGGCCTATTGAATTAATAGGAACAGAAACTGAACTGTGGACAAGACAATCATGACAGTTGCCAGGGTGGATAAAAATCAATGGTTTTTTTTTTTATTTCAATCAGTTTTTTTTTTATTTCAATCGGATTTATTTGATAAAATGCTTTTTGAGGAAAAAACCTATCTAAAGATAGTTTTATTGAAGATACCTTATAGCTCAAAGATATCTCATCATGGAATAGGGATTATAAATTCTAATTCTATAGTAGGAGACAATATTCATGTAATGTTTAAGAAAAGTTTTGTAAGTGAGTTCCAATAGTTCATGGATTAGGGACCCAATGTTATGTGGTTCCAGGGGCTTCTGTATAGATTATTTAGGTTAATCTTTCTATCTACCCAATGGGACTCAGTGCTAAGTCTAGAAGATACCATCAGAGATGCTTAATTTTGCGGTTCTCAAACTGTGGATTTGTGTTTCCAGAGATAACATGCTTGTTAACAGCAAAAATGTTTCAAATAAATAAATATATAGAGTTGAGAAATAACAGACCTCAATCCTGTTGTCCCTCTTCAAATTTGTGTACACAGAGTCAATCCCTTACCTCTTTCTAAAAGTTCAGTTTCAAAAAGTTCAATGAAAAGAAGATTGTTGGGGGCAGAATAGATCGGGATAAGGAGGAGAAGTCTGGAGATAAATGTGAGAGGGGAGGGACAGGCAGTAGAAAGAAAAATGAAACTGTTTGAGCAGCATGTTCCAGAAGTCTTGAGGGTCTTTCTGAGTGTAGCCTTCATTGATTTGAGATTTACCATACCATTTTCTCACTAAAAGGGAAAACCTATAATGGCAGCAGGCGGTAAAAGAGACCCAGTTTTGGTCTTATCTATCTCTGAGTTGTGAAGAATACGTATTAAGGTTATAACAACCAACAATTATGTAGAAATCCATCATTAAATCGAATCTTCCTGACTAGTTATTTAAATCATGATTTAAATCAAATTGATTTAAATCAAATCCACCCTGATAGTTGCACAGAAGGCAACCCGTAACTACAGTAACTCCTCACTTAACGTTATAGTTATGTTCCTGAAAAATGCGACTTTAAGCGAAACGATGTTAAGCGAATCCAATTTCCCCGTAAGAATTAATGTAAATGAGGGGGTTAGGTTCCAGGGAATTTTTTTTCACCAGACAAAAGACTATATAATATATATTGTGTGTGTGTATATATACAATTTAATACTGGTACACAGTGATGATGATTGTGAAGCTTGGTTGAGGTGGAGGAGGAGTCAGAGGGTGGGATATTTCCCAGGGAATGCCTTACTGAGCAATTGGCTGAGCCCTCAAGGGTTAACTCTGACACTCTACAAGGCAGCAGGAATGGAGGGAGGGGAGAGAGATATGCGCATTTCCCTTTTAAGTACACTGCCTTGTTAGATTAGATCAGCTTGCTGAGACCACAGCTGCTGCCAGCAAAGCCCTGTCCTGTGTCCCCCCTGCTCTATGGACGATGGGGTAAGTGGGGTGCAGGAGTGGGGGGGGGACACCGTGACATTAGCCCCCCTCTTCTTCCCTTCCCCCCCGCACAGCAAGCAGGAGTCTTGGGGAGCAGCTCCAAGGCAGAGGGCAGGAGCAGCACATGGCAGTGGGGGGAGGGACACAGCTGAACTGCAGGCAGCTGCTGCACAGGGAACTTAGGGGAGCGGGGAGCTGATGGGGGGGGCTGCTGGTCCACCCTCGTTCCAAGCCCCCACCAGCTAGCTCCAACGGGCTGCTCTTCCTGCAAGCAGTGGACAAAGCAGGCGGCTGCCAAATGACATTAGAAGGGAGCATTGCACAACTTTAAACAAGCATGTTCCCTAATTGATCAGCAACGCAACGTTAACTGGGACCACCGAGGAGTTACTGTACACCGCTTGCAGCATTTCACCACCTCTCCTGCTACTGCTGGATAAGTGCATGAAGTTGGTTTGTAATGATTGTCTAGCACAGGGGTTCTCAAACTGGGGGTTGGGACCCCTCAGGGGGTCAGGAGGTTATTACATGGGGGGTCGCGAGCTGTCAGCCTCCACCCCAAACCCCGCTTTACCTCCAGCATTTATAATGGTGTTAAATATATAAAAAACGTTTTTTTTAAAATATAAGGGGGGTCGCACTCAGAGGTTTGCTATTTGAAAGGGGTCACCAATACAAAAGTTTGAGAACCACTGGGACTCTAGCACAAGTTAGCAGCATCTACTAAGGGAAGAGAGTTTTCATTGAGATTCCTGCATCCCTCTTCCTTGTTAATGGTGCCAAAAAGCCCCCCCTCCCCGTCAAAAAAACCCAAACCAAACTAAGCCTACATGCAAGAGTGGAGCACTGCACAAGTTCAGTGTGTCAGACAAGTCCACAGACAACACTGATCAGGGGAACCATGACATTCACATCTTGGTTGGAAAAGCAGTGGCATCAAGGACACTTGGGGTGGGTGGGGGGTTCCTTTAGCTCTGATGAGCTGCCATAGACCTTGGGTTGTGACTTCTAGTTATTTTTGTGGCAAATTCTTTTCCAAGTTTGCTGCACATGGGAGTGAGCAGAAAGCAAATAGTGTAGCCTATATAGTTTGAGATAAGCTGAAGCTCTGAATTGTACAGCTTTACAGCTGACAGTGTTCTTGTAAAAGCTTTACATGCCCAAGATCCCTTTCTATTGCAAACTTCTCCCTACTTTATTTGTCTTTAATGCCTATGTGTAGTGCACAGGTCACTTGACAGTTCATTTCACTTTTAAAAGGGCCGGGCTGTAAAATTGTTCAGCATAAATGATACTGGTATTCCTTGCATCGAAGTGAGTTAAAAATTAGAGTAAGTCATTGCAGAGACTTCACTTCCAAAATCTAGAAGTGTTTTAGAACTGGAAGAAAAACAGCAACTAAAACTTGTGGATAATAAAACAAGTCACACCATGCCCAAAGTGGGCTAGATGCTTTGCCGATCACACAAAGCGATGTGGTCCCTCCTTGTGAAGAATTTTAGAGTCTAACTTCAAAATATGGTGAGTTGGGGTGTGTAGAAAGGGGCTGGGTTAAGGAAGGACAAAGGTTACAGCAATACGGTCATGCAGTCAGTCCTCGAGGCATTTATCCGTCTTGAACATAACGGCCGTACCGGGTCAGACCAAAGATCCATCTAGCCTTGGTTCACTTAGACTTTTTTTTGTTAATAATAATAATAATAATAATAATAATTGTCTTACTTCTTGTGAGAATAGTAGGAATAGTGAATCTTGAGAGTTTTTACTTGATGGATCACAATGAGGGGCATTCCATATTTGGGGGTGTATGTGAATAAAGCATTGTCATGGTGAGAAGCAGACAAATGGAGCGTAAAGCTGGCCTCGTTGGTGGAGCAGAAGATTCAAGGATGCGTAAGGTGTGATGAGACTCGATTGGCTATCTAGGCAGGGACAATTATACAGAAGCTTAAAGGCAAAGGCAAGAAGTTAAAACTTTATGCAATAGACTCATGAGAGCCAGTGAACTATAAACGTAGGCCCTGATTCTGCGAGCACTTACACATGTAACTATGCACCTGAGTAGTTTAAATGAAGACAGTCAATTGGACTATTCTGTGAGACCTACTCTCATTAGCTGTTTGGGATAGGGGCCATGTTTGTGCAGTACCTAACACAATGGATCCTGATCAAGGCATCTAGGTGCTATTGCAATATGAATAATCACAAGAAATTCCGAGTGAGATGATATGGTCATAATGGATGAGTACGATAATGTGGAAGAAAATACGAATGTCTGAACTGAGACCTTTAAATGCTCTTCTGGGCCTTGCTGCCTGGGGAATTCTTTGTATTGCAACCTGCCACTAACTTGATGGCAAGGTTTGCATTAGGATTATATGATCATAAAATAGAATGCACTAGTGAATATAGAATGGTTATTCATTAACTATATAATGTTTCCAGATGAAATGTGCTCTATAAAGAATAATTCTCAGAGTACCAATATGCTCACTTAGTGAATCAATACTTTGACGTCTTAGTATAACTGCTCGATTAATGCTGAATACACAGTATTATATAGATATCTTTTATTTTCTCATTTTTTGTAGTGCTCTAATCTACCTTGTTTAAAGGAAAAGAGCATCGGTTTGGCTCATTCTGGCAACCTTCAAGTTCCAAAGGTAAGAAGCACTTCTTATTACGTATAAACTGAAATTCTGATTAATTTCAAATGTGGAAAAGTTAGTCTCTTATTAATAACAGCATTGCCCAGAGGCTCCAATCAGTGGTACTGTTCTAGGTGATGTACAAACACACAATACAATCTCTGCCCTTACCCTTCTTCCATCACTTCAATTGTAAGAGATATAGTCAAAAATATACAATTTATATGCAATCTTTACGTACGTTCCTGAACTTTTCCACCTCATGTATAATAATCAGCTGTTCCTGTTTGTCCCTCAGTCTTGCCCTCATTAGTTGACTGAATTCTTGTAGGTCTCTGAGTAGAAGTGCAAGCCTAGTGTAAGAGTGCCGATCCAGTATTGCATTAGATTGAATGTTAGATTATAATCAGTATATGTTTAATATGCTAATACAATTGTGTCAAAACACGTGGCTTGGAGGCTAGATCCAGCCTTTATGTTGGAATTATACAGCCTACATGATAGACTCAAATTCAGATTGGTATTGGTGTGACCACTATGGGTACACAGTGTCCATGTCTGGTGTCCACAATTCAAGAAGGATCTTAATAGATTGGAGAGGGTTAAAAGAAGAGCCACGAGAATGACTGAAGGATTGGAAAACATGCCTTATAGTGATAGACCCAAGGAGCGCAATCTATTTAGCTTAACAAAGGGAAGATTAAGAAGTGACTTAATCACTTAAGTACCTACATGAGGAACAGAAATTTGATAGTAGGCCAACTCTTCACTGTATCAGCCAAAAGTATACAGGCGCTCCCCGACTTACGCAAGCTTTCCGTTCCGGAACACCTTGCATAGCTTGAATTTTGCGTAAATTGGAAACGTATACCCGACCATTATGCGCAACCCCCCCCCCCCCCCCCAAAACCAACAACTCCTATATCTAGCTTACGGAAATTTTTACGTAAGTGCGGATTTGCGTAAGTTGGGTTTGCGTAACCTGGGGGGCATCTGTAACAAGATCCAATGGCTAGAAGCTAAAGCTAGACAAATTCACGCTGGAAATAAAGTGCAAATCTTTAACCATTGGGACAACTTATCAAGGGGTTGTGGTGGATTCTCCATCGCTGGCAATTTTTAAAATCAAGACTGGATGGTTTTTGAAAAGATATGCTCTAGTTTTAAACAGGAATTAATTCAGGGAAGTCCTGTGGCCTGTGTTATTCAAGAGGGCAAATTAGATGACCACAGTGGTCCCTTCTGTCTTTAGAATCTATTAATTTGTGATTGTTACAACGTTTTCATTAATACCCTTACCCTCTTGTAGCCTTCATAGTTGTGAATGTACATTTAGTTCATGTTTTTAAAGTTTTATGGATGCAGTGTTCTCTGCCTGAGTCTGCAGACAACCTGAAACAATCTCTCTGAGAAGGGAAACTGCTTTACATGAGCTAGATTTTTTAGCGTATCAAAGGGACCACATCAACTTGGAAATCACAATTCCATGCGAACATTAGTACTTATGACAAGTAATCTCTAAAATTATGCGAAGAAAAGTATTGTAGAGAAAATGTTTGTTTTCTCCATTTATTTTCAGTTTCCTTGCTTTGTGCCTAGTCAGTTTCATTGGTTTGTTGATGGCCAGCTGGATCGCGCTAAGGCAGTGGTCCCCAAACTGTGGGGCATGCCCCCCCAGGGGCATACATATGAGTACATATCCTATCCCTAGGGGTGGGTGGAGGAATGTTCGGGAGGGCATGTGGCAGGGCCCGGGCAACCCCCATGGAGGGCAAGGAAGGAGCGCCCCTCAGCTCCACTCTGCACCAAGCCCCAGCCGCAGCTCTGTTCTGCCTGCAGCTCAGCTCTGCCGTCATGCCCTCTCTGCCCCCCGGCCAGCTCCACCTCTATCCCCAGCTCTTCCCCCATCCCCAGTTCCACCCCCATCTCTGCCTTGAACCTAAGCTCCTCTGCTGAGGAAGCCTTGGCTGTGCAGTAATGGAGTGAGGGCGCAGACAGATTCCATTACTGATAAGGGGAGGCACAACAGGAAAAGTTTGGGCACCACTGCTCTAAGACATTGCTGCTGTGGCAAAGCTTCTATGCATCCTCTGCTCTGCAAGAGGGTGCTTACCAGTAATAACAGCAACAGCAAAGCTTAAGAGGGAAGAGGAAGGTGGGGGAGAAAGAATTGGCCTGGGCATATTTGGTGATGGTAGTGGCTGCGGGCCTGACCAAAAGACCCAGGTAAATTTAGTGAAGGAGAGAAAAACCCTTTCCATTTTTTTTTTTTAAAAGAAAGAAATGAAGACATGCTATTTGAGGGATGCTCTACTAGAAAATTCAGCTCCTTGATTCCAGTACACAGACTGTTGAAGCAGGACAGATTTTTGTATACAAAACGGTGGAAAGGTCTCGCATGTATTGCTCCAGTATAATGGGAAGAAAAATTATTTACCTTTGCATTTATATGGCTATCAAATATACAAAGTTTCAATAGGTAATGCTAAAAAAATGTTGTGGAAGGGATTTTAAACCTCATGCTAAAGGCTTAAGCCAATCTTTAACTATTAGAGATCAGGATGGGACCTGATCTACTTACTGGTCTGACTACTGTGGAGTTTTTACACCTTCCTCTGAGGCATCTGGTTCTGACCACTTTTGGAGACAGTATACTGGACTAGCTGGGACCTTGGGTCTGGTCCAGTGTGACACTTCCTTTGTAGGATAAGTTAGCTGGTTGGAGGCCAGCATTAAACAAACAAAACCAGATGCTAAAAGCATAAAGCAACAGATTTGTGTTTGTATTTCTTTGTCCCGACATTGGTAATAATGATTGCTGTATTAATTTAAATGTCTTGTTAGTTATATTGTTTTTGCTTTTATATTTTTTCTTGAAAAAATAATAAAATTAAACAATTGTAATTTTATGAAGAAACGGACATTCCCTTTTTACTTCTGCAAGGAGTCATGCATCTATTTCATGTATTTGGGGAAGCCTTATATAATATTCCATCAGTTATTTATGTGTGTGGTGGGCAGCATCTCTCTTTGAGTGAAGGAACATTTGTCCTGCTGCAGTATGTGCCATGCCAGTATCTTTGCAAATGAAAGAAATTGGTGTTTCTGTTTTATCTTTTATTTTGTATCAATTTCAAAACTAGTATTACTCTAGCAGTGAAAGTCTCTTAGTAAGAGGTATTGCCATGGCGATAGTTTAGAGAAGTTCATGGGCAAGTGACACACAAACACAATAAAAAACCCATTACTGTTAAGTGAAATCATTCAAGACGCTGATCATCTCCTACTATCACTTATGCATATAAACCCTTACCCTGTTGCCACCCAACCAGCATGCAGGATTCCACAATAGCACCTCTTAACCCAGAGGATGACAAACCAGTTTGCAAACGTAAATAGTTATACATTCTGTACAGGGATCATTTTACCACCCCTGAAGTGCACCCACTTCTGAAATGAAACATAGCAGGCATTTAACAGTGCACGGGTTTAGGGCAGGACATGAAGAATAGCATATCCATTTGAAACTTCATGGGGAGTGTAGGTAGGCAGAATATAATTATCAGAGTTAACCTGCAGTGCCTTAACTGAATTCTAACACGCATACTCTTATTAAAGATCCATGAGATTTTTAATGAGGTTAAGACCTTGTTTTTCATCTCATCTGAAAGATGGCACCTCCAGTAAAACAGAGCACCATGAATGTATGCTGGTCATTGGTTCAATGTGGAGTCAGAGGAAAGAGTGCCCTTACTGATTGCCAGTGTCTCTTTCTGCATCACCTGTCCAGAGGTGTTCCTTGAAAGTCTCTTCTCCAAGTATGGACCCAGCGTTATATAGCTCAGTTTGTGGAACTGTATGAAATTTCAGCGGAAAGGTGCTATGTCTGTAGGGGTGGGGTATTTTGTTAAGTGCTAATTCAGCTTTTAGAATGGTTTGGATTACTGACTGACTGGTGAAGTTACTTTTATTGGGTCTTCATATGTTTCCTTTTTAATCCAAATATCTTATTCTAAGGTTCAGTTGCACTTGGCTAGTTTCTTACTTCTCTAGTAGATTAATTAGTTAACATTTTTACAAATGTGAAAGCATAATTGGCAGTCTGGAAGAATGAAGTCCTCCCTTTATACACAGAACAGGTACAGCTCAGCCAATGATAATGTGATTATTTCCCCATATAACCTACAGTGTGCTGCTACCTAGTTCTGCAGGTATCACCTCTGAAAATGAGTTAATTCTTTATGAACATTTGGTCTTAGATCTTTCCACTAACAACTGGATTAGGGCTAACCAACTCATTTCACATAGGTCAGCGAATAGCTATGAGACATTAATGACACTAGGGGGCTTGTCACCTGATCTAGATTTAAATTATTCACCTAGAAGTGATAATATCTGTGACCTTGATGTGGTTTTGAACATAGAGAAGGGGAAAATCATCAGTGATTCACAGGAATTTAGTTGCCTGATTCCCATTCTTGCCTATGGCAGTCACATACCCAAGGTCTACATTGTCTACATTGCATGCTGCTTTTGGCGGTGCATAGCGTGTATCCCCTAGCACGGGTATAAATAGCAGTGTAGACGGTGAGGCATGGCTTAGGTAGGTAAAGACACTCCGAAAGAGTGTGGGTATGTACTCGAGTACATATCCTACACAGCTCTCTACTTGCCCAAGCTATGCCTCCCCATCTATATTGCTATTTTTAGCAGTGTAGTGTGCCACTGCCTCTCTGCTGCTTTCCCTGCTGCCTCCCTGTAGCTGGAGACTTTCCCCACAGCAGGGAAAGATTCTGGCAGTGGGGAAAGGCTTTGGCAGGGAAGAAGCAGTGGGGAAAGTTTTAACCTTTTCCCATTTGACTACCCCCTCCCGCCCCCCTTGCCAGAGCCTTGCCACAGTGAAAGGCTTCTGCAACAGGTTGCTGCTGAAGCAATTCTCTGCCATCTCTCCTGTGCTAGAGACTTTCACTGACTTGGGTAGCTACACAGTGCAATGTGATCACAGACTGCTTTTCATTGCTGCGTGTAGAGACACGTACATCTCTTCCAATAGTGTGTAGTGTAGATGTACCCTGAGTACCTGTGCACGACTTTGAAAATGCTAAATTTTTGAATAGTGCTCTAACTAATGTGCCTGCTTAAATTGTAGATTTCCTGCTACTTTCCCTTTTGCTTACAGCTGTTGTGTCAATGTGTTCTCTCTCTGACCACAGCTTATGAAAAATTCAGTGGAGAAGGCCTGGAATGTATGCCTATCAATTTTTTAAAATTTGGATATTAACTATATCTTACTGTCCTAAACTGCTGAAAGCAAACTATTCCAGCCTGCTCCTGTGCTCTTCGGTTTTATATCTTTTCAGCAACTGTTGTAGTTCTGGAACTAGAGATTTATTGGTTTCTAGTTTGGTAAGTTCTGTATATCCCTTACACGTGCCAAAGATGTGTATTCCTGTTATTAGGATTTAAATATTTCCTCTCTTTCTTTTTTGTAGGCTTCTGTTGAAGGAATGAAGCTTTAAAAAGGAATTTACAAAATAAGAAAATGGGTGCAAACAGTAGCAGCATTTGTGAGCTCCCAGAAAATGAGTACTTAAAAAGATTATCGGGAGCCGAGGCTGTCTCTGAGAATGACCCATTCTGGAATCAGCTGCTTTCTTTTAGCTTTACTGCCCCAACAAGCAGGTAAGAGGATGCTTGCTGAAGGACTGAACATTTATGACAAATACATTAGCAATGGTGCCAAATAAATCTGAATGCAAAATAGACTTATTTTTCCTCTCTTTTTGGGAGTTGGTAGGCATGTGGAAAGTCCACCTGAGCGTGGGCTGTTGGAGTACCGTTCCACCATATTCTCTCATTCTTGCAGCTTCTTTTCCTCATTGCAGCTGTAATTAGTCTTCATTCTCCTCACAGCTAAGAAAGGTCAGCAATAGGTCTATAACACTGTTTTTCTAAATAGGCCCCTGGAAATGCTGAAGAACAACAGATGGTGCCCCCTTTGCAGGACCTATAGCTTTCAGCTCAAGCAAATTAAAGCAATGATGAAGTTATGGGGTTCATCCTGCCAGTGCTGAGTCCCTTAAACTCCCATTGAATTTAATGGGAGCTGAGGGTATTCAGCATCTCAGGTGATTGGGCTGTAAGTTTGTTACTGGATAGGGTCCCTTATAGCTTATGTTCTTGTGACATGCCAGGATATAATCCAGACTAATGAGTAGCTGTGTCACCCCTGTCTTGTAGCCTGGGGGAGCCTTTTACAATGCTTTGCTGCTGTAGCCTCCAGCCTGGACTGCTCACAAATGGTCTCCAGCATGTAAGTCTCTCCCAGCTATGTCGGGGTGTGTGAGCCAGCCAGCCACAACTCGGCTCTTACCAGCCTTGATTATGCTGCAGGGTGACCCCATCACATCCCTGGTCCTAGATTTTTCCCCCAGAAATGTATGTCCTGTACTTCCCAGCTCTCTCCTGGACAGTACAAATAACTAAGAACATAAGAACGGCTGTACTGGGTCAGACCAAAGGTCCATCTAGCCCAGTATCCTGTCTACCGACAGTGGCCAATGCCAGGTGCCCCAGAGGGAGTGAACCTAACAGGTAATGATCAAGTGATCTCCTTCCTGCCATCCATCTCCATCCACCCTCTGACAAACAGAGGCTAGGGACACCATTCCTTACCCATCCTGGCTAATAGCCATTAACGGACTTAACCTTCATGAATTTATCCAGTTCTCTTTTAAACGCTGTTATAGTCCTAGCCTTCACAACCTCCTCAGGCAAGGAGTTCCACAAGTTGACTGTGCGCTGTGTGAAGAAGAACTTCCTTTTATTTGTTTTAAACCTGCTGCCTATTAATTTCATTTGGTGACCCCTAGTTCTTGTATTATGGGAATAAGTAAATAACTTTTCCTTATCTACTTTCTCCACATCACTCATGATTTTATATACCTCTATCATATCCCCCCTTAGTCTCCTCTTTTCCAAGCTGAAAAGTCCTAGCCTGTTTAATCTCTCCTCATATGGGACCCGTTCCAAACCCCTAATCATTTTACTTGCCCTTCTCTGAACCTTTTCTAGTGCCAGTATATCTTTTTTGAGATGAGGAGACCACATCTGTATGCAGTATTTAAGATGTGGGCATACCATCGATTTATATAAGGGCAATAATCTATTCTAAGTCTTATTCTCTATCCCCTTTTTAATGACTCCTAACATCCTGTTTGCTTTTTTGACCGCCTCTGCACACTGCGTGGACATCTTCAGAGAACTATCCACGATGACTCCAAGATCTTTTTCCTGATTCGTTGTAGCTAAATTAGCCCCCATCATATTGTATGTATAGTTGGAGTTATTTTTTCCAATGTGCATTACTTTACATTTATCCACATTAAATTTCATTTGCCATTTTGTTGCCCAATCACTTAGTTTTGTGAGATCTTTTTGAAGTTCTTCATAGTCTGCTTTGGTCTTAACTATCTTGAGCAGTTTAGTATCATCTGCAAACTTTGCGACCTCACTTTTTACCCCTTTCTCCAGATCATTTATGAATAAGTTGAAGAGGATTGATCCTAGGACTGACCCTTGGGGAACACCACCAGTTACCCCTCTCCGTTCTGAGAATTTACCATTTATTCCTACCCTTTGTTCCCTGTCTTTTAACTAGTTCTCAATCCATGAAAGGACCTTCCCTCTTATCCCATGACAACTTAATTTACCTAAGAGCCTTTGGTGAGGGACCTTGTCAAAGGCTTTCTGAAAATCTAAGTACACTATGTCCACTGGATCCCCCTTGTCCACATGTTTGTTGACCCCTTCAAAGAACTCTAATAGATTAGTAAGACACGATTTCCCTTTACAGAAACCATGTTGACTTTTGCCCAACAATTTATGTCCTTCTATGTGTCTGACAATTTTATTTTTTACTATTGTTTCGACTAATTTGCCCGGTACCGACGTTAGACTTACCGGTCTGTAATTGCCGGGATCACCTCTAGAGCCCTTTTAAAATATTGGCGTTACATTAGCTATCTTCCAGTCATTGGGTACAGAGGCTGATTTAAAGGACAGGTTACAAACCCTAGTTAATAGTTCCGCAACTTCACATTTGAGTTCTTTCAAAACTCTTGGGTGAATGCCATCCGGTGCCGGTGACTTGTTAATGTTAAGTTTATCAGTTAATTCCAAAACCTCCTCTAGTGACACTTCAATCTGTGACAGTTCCTCAGATTTGTCACCTACAAAAGCCGGCTCAGGTTTGGGAATCTCCCTAACATCCTCAGTCGTGAAGACTGAAGCAAAGAATCCATTTAGTTTCTCCGCAATGGCTTTATCGTCTTTACGCGCTCCTTTTGTATCTCGATCATCGAGGGGCCACACTGGTTGTTTAGCAGACTTCCTGCTTCTGATGTACTTAAAAAACATTTTGTTATTACCTTTTGAATTTTTGGCTAGCCGTTCTTCAAGCTCCTCTTTGGCTTTTCTTATTACATTTTTACACTTAATTTGGCAGTGTTTATGCTCCTTTCTATTTACCTCACTAGGATTTGACTTCCACTTTTTAAAGGAAGTCTTTTTATCTCTCACTGCTTCTTTTACATGGTTGTTGAGCCACGGTGGCTCTTTTTTAGTTTTTACTGTGTTTCTTAATTTGGGGTATACATTTAAGTTGGGCCTCTATTATGGTGTCTTTAAAAAGCGCCCATGCAGCTTGCAGGGATTTCACTTTAGTCACTGTATCTTTTAATTTCTGTTTAACTAACTTCCTCATTTTTGCATAGTTCCCCTTTTTGAAATTAAATGCCACAGTGTTGGGCTGTTGAGATGTTCTTCCCACTACAGGGATGTTAAATGTTGTTATATTATGGTCACTATTTCCAAGCGGTCCTGTTATAGTTACCTCTTGGACCAGCTCCTGCGCTCCACTCAGGACTAAATCTAGAGTTGCCTCTCCCCTTGTGGGTTCCCGTACCAGCTGCGCCAAGAAGCAGTCATTTAAAGTATCGAGAAATTTTGTCTCTGCATTTCTTCCTGAGGTGACATGTTCCTAGCCAATATGGGGATAATTGAAATCCCCCACTATTATTGAGTTCTTAATTTTGATAGTCTCTCTAATTTCCCTTAGCATTTCACCATCACTATCACTGTCCTGGTCAGGTGGTCGATAATAGATTCCTAATGTTATATCTTATTAGAGCATGAAATTACTATCCATAGAGATTCTATGGAACATGTGGATTCACTTAAGATTTTTACTTCATTTGATTCTACATTTTCTTTCACATATAGTGCCACTCCCTCCCCTGCACAACCTGTTCTGTCCTTCCGATATATTTTGTACCCCGAATGATTGTGTCCCATTGATTGTCCTCAGTCCACCAGGTTTCTGTGATGCCTATTATATCAATATCCTCCTGTAACACGAGGCACTCTAGTTCACCAATCTTATTATTTAGACTTCTAGCATTTGTGTACCAGCACTTTAAAAACTTGTCACTGTTTATTTGTCTGCCCTTTTCTGAAGTGTCCAATTCTTTATGTGAATGTTTCTCATCTGATCTGGCCCTTACATTATCCTCTTCCATCTTCTGCTCCTGACTATAACCTAGAGAATCTCTATCAATAGACTCTCCTCTAAGAGAAGTCTCTGTTCGATCCACATGCTCCTCTGCAGCAGTCGGCTTTCCCCCATCTCCTAGTTTAACATTAAAAAGGTTGCAGAGCAGTTTTTAAGTGTCAGCAGTCTGGTTCCACTTTGGTTTAGGTGGAGCCCATCCTTCCTGTATAGGCTCCCCCTATCCCAAAAGTTTCCCCAATTGAGTCTGTTATTCATTCAAGGGAATAATATGCACACAACTTGTTACCCCAAATGGAGTTACCCAGACACTTTAACTTGAACATACTGGATTAGATAAAACTGTAAAAGAAATTAACTACAAAGAGGGAGATTTTAAGTGACTACAAATAATGAGGCATAGAAGTCAGAAATGATTACAAGAAAAATAGAGATAGAATGCTTACTGGTGCCTAATTTAACAAATTACATTGGATTCAAAACAAAGTTTTCTCACCACATGCTTTCAGCAGTCTTACTGACCAAACTCTTTAGGTCAGGACCCCTGCCTCAGAGTCCAACCGCTGCTTCCTTTGTCTTTTCAGGTGCAGTAAATGCAATGTCAGAAAGAATGGGGGCGGGGAGGGTCTCTTGTGGTATTTATTCTTTCTTTTACTAATTTCAGTCCACCCCTTGAAAATCATTTCCCGCTGAGGACCAGGAGACAAAGAATCTATGTGGAAGGATATTCCCTGCTGTCCCGTCCCCCCCCTTATTTGAGCTTCCTTTGTTTTCCCTCCCTGCTTGATGACTTTGTTTACTTCTTAAATGCAAATTAAGACAAGCACACATTCCTTCTTTCGTTTAGGACAAACCTGACTTTGGGCAGGGCTGGAGTGTTTGGAACGTGTGTTAATAACATCATAAAGTGGAATCTGAAACAGTGTTGTCACGCACATTTTATCAGGACAATACTGATCAGCAAATTATGAGTTTTCAAATGATACCTCACAGGACATACTTTGTATAAAGATTATTACAATAGTGTTTAGGGCAGGGGTGGCCAACCTGAGCCTAAGAAGGAGCCAGAATTTACCAATCTACATTGCCAAAGAGCCACAGTAATACATCAGCA